AACCTAGGCGAGCTGAACATTACGAAGTATGATTGGAAATAGTCTGGGCAAGCGGAACATTGTTTCCAAGCCGAATGGTTCATTCCCCTGCCCATATTTGCATCTTCTTTTGAGAACAAAGTCAGAGAATTATTAAACTTTGAATATTAAACAGTTCAGGGCAGCTAGGCATTGTTTCCAAGACGAATGTTCTAGTCAAATGCCCTAAGAAGAGAAAAGTAGTAGTGCAACCTGTTCGTGCATATCCTAAGGCACGTTGGACATTGTTTCCAAGCCGAATGGTCTAGCATTCGTGCCATGTGTAAGTTGGGTATAAGGGATAAAGTACCTGAAGACTCATGAACTATCTTACATGAAATAACTTGGGATGGTGAGAGTACTTACTTTTATGGTTTGGCCTGCATGTGACTAAGTACGACTACTACTTAGTCTGAGTTTCAATTTGGTAGATAGTTGCTTTAGTCGCTCGCCACGTGCTTGAGCCATAGGAGTTAGTTTCAATTCCGGCATTTTCTGGACTAAGTTTATTTTTACTTAGGTCGATTTCTGCATTTTCTAGGATCATTTATTACCCTTGGTCTTGTATAACTCTTGGTAAGTCACTTTTTCTATGGGAAGCGCTGGGAAAATTTTACAAAACCAAGGAGTTAGTTAGATTTTGTTTTTTTTAAGTTCAATCTGTCCAGCTGTTATGGCTTAGTAGAAATCTGAAGAGTCTTCTTTTCTAAAGGGAGTGCTGCCCAAATTTTTGCTATTTAAGGGAGTTAGAAAAAATTGTACTTTGAGAAGTCTAAGTCACTTATTTTTTCTGAACTTAGTTTTGTATAAATCTTGAGATAACACTTTCTTTACGGGAAGCGCTGCCGAAATTTCTACAAAATCTAATTGTCTTAAGTTGAACTTAGGAATCGATTCTGAGTTAATATCTGACTTAGTACAAATCTGAGAAGTCTACCTTTCTGGAGGAAGTGCTGCCTAAATTTTTACTAATTCAGGAAGTTAGACAAATTTGGATTTTCCAGAGCTAGGAATTAATTTTATTTTCTTATTTGGGCTGTTATAAATTCTGCAAAGACAATTTTTCTACGGGAAGCGCTGCCGAAATTTTTCTAAATTAAGAGAAGTTCGATTATATTTTGACAGGTGGAAATTTTGGCAGTTCACTCTGTATAGAAGAGATTCTACCAAAAGACCTACCTTTCCATTAGGCATTGTGTTAAGAAATAGACTCATAGGTAGTTAAGTAGAATGACCCTTGGTGGAATTGAGATGGGGAGGTTACCCTTGACTTGGACTCATAGATTAAGCTTGGGGTTGGCTTATCTTATGTTACAGGTCCTTCTAGACGTTTGATTTGAAATCAGGACTAGGTTCAGCTTGATCCTACAAGGATCGTCTTCTGTTATCACTGATAACAGGTCGGTTGCCGATTCGTCGGTTTACGACTCAATTCCTACTCACCCTCAATACTCAACCGAAAAAGCTTTAGCCCTAGTGATTTTATTTGTTTTGTTAAGGTTTCATCCGGACTTTTATTGAATGGTCTTTTAACAAAGGTACTGAGTATTTAATTATGGTTGGTTGGACAGGAGGTTGGGGTTTGCATGGCTAAAGTGAGGGGTATGAGTACAGAGATTGGTTGGAGTTGACTCCGTGTAGTGTGTGGACTCTTGTTTGACTTTTTGATGTGATTGCAGGTATGTGCTGTGGTTCGGATTTTGGATTTGACTGCCTACAATTACACACATATACATATGGCTGTGAGGAATCTCACAGTGATTGTGAGAAGTGATCGTCACATACTTATCTCCCGATTATGCATATATATATATATATATATATATATATATATATATATGTACCTATGTTGGGTATTCGCGTGGCCTCAGGGGTCCGCGTAGTAAGGATGTAACTAGGGGTTAAGATTGAGAGGAGAAGAAAAACCCCTTTCTCTTGTTATATATTTTTTAATGATTTCTTAGTCGGACGTTGGTCCTGGGCCGGGATTCAAGGTCTTTGTCCATGACATCCCAAACCCTAGACTCTGCAGGGAAGGAATCTACCCCTGTGCAGAGCCTATTTACCTTGCCTGCCAAGACACTCAGGCCAAAAGTCGGAGGTCTCGCGGCGGCCACACGACTATTCCTTCAGCCGTGCAATGTCGTGAGGGAGTAGACCCTCACGACACTTCGAGCCTGACACTTGAGTGTCATAAGCGGTACCCGGATCCGCGAGGGACCGCTTGATCATGGGCACTACATAGTACGCCATCGCTGCAATCGCCTACATACGCTTGCATTGCGAATCGATATCAGTTAGCCCTGCACCCGTGAGGTTTTATACTAAGTCTCGCGCGCGGCGCCTATCCGATTTCTGCATCGAAAAGTTATGGGATGGCTAGTAAGGGACTAGGAGTGTTGTCACGTTGTTTGTTCATTGTCGTTCTTTATATGTATATATGTACATGCGTGTGTGTTTTATTTTTATGTTCATTATAGCAGTGTGCGCGTGGCGTGTGGAATGCGTCCTAGTCGACCGGTGACGAGTCACGCTTGGGACCTCAGCTCCCCAAGATGTCGATTCGCGTGCGGGTCCGATAGAGGCGTAGTACTGTGCGTACCCCCTATGCTACAACGAACGAGAAACGCCCTCGGTTGGTCCACCTCTGCGATTGTAACTGATCAGCTTTCGTACTATGGACTTGTAGCTCGGCGGGGATACGCCCACCGAAGGGAGGTGACAACTTCCGTAAGGTGGAGGTAAGTCGTGCCTCGCGTAGGCCCTATCCTGTCATAGGGGCTCGCGAGAGGTATCGCTGGCGCACTCGGCCGGAGCGGCTTGCGGAAGCTCCATGTATATTCACGACGAAGGATTAAAACCAACCCCTGCGTGACACAGCCGGGAGGGTCCCCTGCTACCCTTGAGTGGTGTTGGACCGATGCGCTCGACAGGTGGCGCCGTTGCCGGGGATAACGGCTGCCTACCGTTGCCTCTAGTGGAACGACATCCGGGTATAATTTTTGAGAGAGGAAATAGGCACAAAGGACAGAGTATATAATATCTGACCGGATTACTTATGATGGAACAACCATTCTAATAAGTGTTATCGTTGAACTGATTGATTGCTTGGATTAGGAAGTTATGAAGGAGACCCTATATGGGGAAAATGAGGGTATTAAGTTAAGTTCCTTAGGAATGGAAACAAGGTAGGACCTGTTAGGTCTGAGCCATTGGCTAGTTATGGTAGAGGTCGAGTATGGGATGTGATAGGATAGAACTGCTGAACAAAGTGGTGTGGTTTTCTTAAAACAGGGAAAGGCGAGTAAAGACAGTCCGAGAGAATGTCGGGGTCGATAGCAGATGGCGAGGGGAAAGTCCTGATACTTGAGGACCTCATTGAGGCATTGGATAAGCGGGAAAGGATGCCAAGCAATGTCCCCAAAGTTGACACTTTCCATTTCAACAGGGAATAGGTCTCTGATTGGTTAGACTTGGTGGAGCAAGCCTTGGTGGGTTTAACAGATGAAGTAAAGTTCAAGTGCATCCTGAAGTATGTACTTCATATCCACCATCAGGAGGTGGAGAAGGTTGTAAGCACGACCAATGGCAGTTGGGCCCGATTTAGGGATGGGATGCGGAGGAAGTATAGGCTGGGCGATGGACTGCTGACCACGGCAGACCTAGAGGCCATGAACAGGGACGACTTCACCACGGTGGGGGCGTTCGTGCAGGAATTTAAGAAGAAGGCGAGAAAAGTTCATGCATCTCAGAGGAAGCCCAATGTGCTATCATTCTGGGGCTGCTCACCGCCGCGGAGGCTGCAGAACTAACGAGCCATGGAGGAGGGAGTGAGAAACTTATGTGGGCCACTATTGACAAAGGCGTGGCAGAAGGGAGTTTGGACGAGGTGGAATAACACTAGATGCGCCTGCAAAGACGTAAGCGGAAGCAGAGGGACGCCACAGCGTCCGGAACCCCTGGAGTAAGGAGGATTGTCACTGACGTACTAGCGGAATTGGGCTATGGAAAAGACACAGTGGTTCAAAGAAAAGTAGTGACAACAGTCCAAGGTAAGGGGAAAGTTCCAGTAATAGAGGAAGACGTCCAGGAAGAGTGGGAAGAGGAGGAGTCAGTGCCTCAACACCTCTCGAAAGCGTTACGTAAGCAGCGCAACTTAGCATAAGGGGGGCAAGGTTCAGGGAAGGGGCAGGCGCCCCAAGCAGTGGTGGTAGCATCACCAAGCGCGTCGGCACCGTCAAGTAGTGCGGGACCCTCACAAGCAGCATTCCCGCCATTCGGGCAGTGGCCATGACCTGTATTCAACACGTTTGTGCCATGGGGGAGCCCGACCCCGTCTGGGCAAATGATACCTTATGCGGGGCGCCAAACGAGTATGCCACCGCCAAGTTACCCTGCGGCACAGGCCCAGCCCATGGTACCGCCTCCGTCGCCCGCGCCGAGTTCACAAGGTAGCGTGGCAGGAGGAGGAGACTACGGTCAGGGTAACCAAGGGAATGGAGGGACAGGTGGTGGAAGAGGGCGCGGCCGAAATGGCGGAGGCCGAGGAGGAGGGCACTGGGATAACCAGGGCCACCAAAGCCAAGAGAATCAAGGAGGTCAGGGCTATGGCAGAGCCCGCTTCGATTGGAGGACCGCCATATGCCAGCATTATGATAAACAGGGACATACTATACGATTTTGCAATGCTAGGCGAAAAGATGAAAGAGTGGGACTGATTTACTCCAATATGGACGGCGATATATATGATTAGTTCGGAGATCACATTGACAGGAAGGTCCCTGGCGGAGTAAGGGCAGAAGCGCTCAGAAGGGTAGCAGCACGACAAGCTCCGCCTGCCACTTTTAGATTATGGCAGGAGAGGGATGACCCGCCGATAGGAGTATAAGAAGTGAAAGGCGATGAGAAGGTGACTCAAAAACTACAGGCAGGGGTCACAAAGGAAGAGCCTATAGTTATAGAGTCGAACGATGAGAATGAAGGTGAAAAGGTCAAGCCAACGTCTGTCCTTTTAGGGAAAATGGAAGATTTGTGGGACAAAATGGGCCGGTACCGGCAAAAGCTGATGGATATGTGTGAAGAAGTAGAGAGCTGGAGAGCTGGTATCCCTAAAGTCTTCCTGTATGACTCAGGTCCTGAATCCATGCCAGGAAGGCAACGATACCCTGGAGTTACCACGGTAAGTTCAGGGCCCAGGTCTGGAATGACCCACAGGCCCCCTACTACATTGGCACAAGCCGCGTTCGCCGCACGGACTAGGGGACAGGCAAAGGTGGGGGCAGGTCAGGACCCACCTAAGAGAGAGTCAGAGCTAGAACGCAGAAAGGAGCCTGTGGAGGTGCAGGATTATGATGATGAAGATGAAGAAGATGAAAAACTCCAGCAAGAGGAAGACCGGAGGGCCGAACAGAGGGCAAGGAAGAGAGGTTCCCAAGAAGAAGTCGAGCCAGTCCTACGCGACGTAACGCCAAACAAGAAGAAATACGTCGTCGGGCTTGAGGAAGGTTTTGATGTGGAAAGATTGATTGACAGGTTGCTTGAGGGCCATAATGATCTTATGACCCTAAAGGAGATTCTGGCGTCCGCCCCAAGGCTCCGCAATGAGCCAAAGGGTAGGCTTTCGAGGCGGCTGGTGCCGAGCGTCCGTCTTAGTGTGATTCTGTCTAAGGAAGTGGAGTGGGCGGACTCGAGGACGAAGATGGACTGGAAATGTGTGGCCTGCGGCATGGTGGACTTAGTAGTAAAAGGCTCCAAGTGCGTAGCAATGGTGGGTACGAGGGCAGAGATGAATATCATCCGCGAAGCTGACGCAATCAAGTATGGGTTGGACATAGACCGTTCGGACTACGGTATTTTACACGGGGCAAATTGCAAGGCTGTGTTTTGTGGGACCGCCTCGATCACGAGATTGGAAGAGTAAAAGTCAAGACTTGTTTTTTCGTAATGTCAGACATGGACCATGACATTCTTCTTGGGAGATCATTCTTATGCCGGACAGAGACCCTGATGTACAACAAGCATGATGGGTCGCTGATCCTGATCTTATGTGATCCAGCATATGGGAATTACGAAGTAATTACCTGCCGAAGTACTGGGCCACGAAGCTTAAGAAACAGGCTCAATCCTAACTCATTCACTATTGAACAGTCAGAAAACGAGCACAAAAGACTTATGGCAGAGTCTGAGGAAGAAGTGAGGGGAGAAGCGTTCTCACTCAGCTTGTCTGATGTGAGCAAGGCCATGGACATAATGGTCACGCATGAAATGACGGATCCAGATGCCATTCAGGCATTGAGGGAGCAAGTCCTGGAATTTTCCCAAGCAGGGGAGATGGAGTTGGTCTATCGGCCTCCAAGGGGAAGAAGGGGCCTTGCTATGGCACAGGCGCAGGCACAGACAGTCAGTCGGCCTTTTTTAGGGGACGGCTCAAGCAGGGTTCCCAAAGGCGGTACAAAACGATAGATAAAAAGTGTCGTCAAGTTCCCGTTCTCGTCACCGAAGATGAAGAAGTGTACTACGAGCGGGAACAAGCTTTGATACGGCAGATGAGGGAGAACGCATCAGTAGGACCATGTCGTATCAACAAGGGGAATGAAGGGAAACTAATAGTGGGGGAACCTGACTTCTTACTACCCCGGGAAATGGCGTTAATGATAGAGTTGATGAAGAAAAGGCATCGTGCCTATACATTTAGTGATGAGGAGCGCAACAGGTTGGATGTAGACAAGATTCCTATGATTCGCATCCATATCATGCCACATGAGCCATGAAACTTAAGAGGGGCGCGATACCCTAACCCTGACGAAGAGAAAAAGGTGGTGGATTACCTCGATGGCAAGATACGCACGCACGCCGCCGATTATTCAAGTTGACCCTACGCGTCCCCGTGGTTTTGTTTCATCAAGCCTAATGGGACGTTGAGGTGGATGCAGGATTTGCAAAGGCTGAATGTTGTGACTGTGCGGGATGCAGGAGGCTTGCCAAATGCAGGCGCGTTGTTAGAGTCATATGCTGGGAGACCAATAATCTCACTCATTGACGTCTATTCCGGATATGACCAGTTTCCGGTTTATCTGCCAGACAGACCAGTAACAACGATACATACGCCTCGAGGGCTTATCCACATGAATGTGGCTCCGAAAGGGTGGACGAATGTTGTAGCCATGGTTCAGAGACATATGATTTGAGCCATACAGACAGTTAGTCTACATATTACGCAGCCATATACTGATAACTTGGCAGTAAAGGGACCGGGAAAGAGAGAGACGATGAAGTCTTGCCATGCGTAAGGCGTTTTGTATGGAAGCATGTTCAGGATCTTGACAAAGTCCTAAAGTTGCTTGAAGAATATAACCTTACAGCTAGTGGAGCCAAATCCAAGCATTGCATGAGGGAAGCTACCATCTTGGGGTTCGTCTGTAGTGAGAGTGGTCCACGGCCAGATGTTAAGAAAACGGACAAGATTGTCAAATGACCAGTACCATTCCATTCGGTAACAGATGTCAGAAACTTCCTCGGCACGTGTGGATTTTGGAGGACTTTCGTCAAAAACTTTGCTGCCAAGACAGAGCAATTAAGGAAGTTGGTTCGTCAGGACCAGGAATGGGTTTGGGGTGAGGAGCAGGAGAAGGTAGTGTCAGGGATGAAGGAAGAATTTCGAAAAGGAGGATTGGTGTTGGGAGCGTCAGACTATGACGCCACGGAGGTGAGGTCGTTCATTGTTGAGACGGACGCTGGACCGACTGCTTTAGGTGGGGTTCTAATCCAGGCGGATATCGAAGGAAAGGAGAGGCCGTTGCATTTTGAGAGTCGAACTTTGTGTACATCAGAGAGAAATTACTCTCAATTCAAAAGGGAGACTCTCGTTGTCCTTCACTGCCTACGGATCTTTCGGAACTACATCTTTGGCAGGAGGTTCATATTGAGGGTGGATCCAACAACTCTAGCTTTCTCCCTAAGGAACTATGTTCCGTCCGATCCAACGGTTGCTAGGTGGTTAACATACATTTGGATGTTCAACTTTGAGTTGGAGCGAATTCCAGGGAGTAAGAATAGAGCAGATGGACTAAGCCGCATCAACTGGGATAAGGAGGAAGGAGAGGCAATAGAGAATACGCCCCCTGTTGATGGCTTTTTGGACCAGGAGGAAGACATCCTCCGTCACATTAATGAGTGGTCTCCGCGAGTGCCTAGCTGCGTTGGTCATCTCATTTGGCATGCGCCAAAGGGATATGAACGGAAGGTTGAGTTAGTACTCAAGCCTTTTGAAGAGGAGGACCCTTGGGGCGGCAAGGACGTCCAATGGATGATGAAGTTTGCACTCGCAAGCAATCACAGCTTGGTGGAGGAGGTAAGGACAATAGAGGAAGACCCAGACCGCGTAAGGATGCATGAGGAGTTGATGGGAGACATATACCTCCTCGTCAATACACTTCTGCAGGAACCCTCTGATCTGATAGGCTCGTTAAACCCGGCTGAAGGAGAAGATGTTGTGCTAGAAAGCCAGGATGATGGGTTTGAAGAAGGAGAAATCAAAGAGGCTTTCCGTGCAGAGGAGTATGATGGAATCTACCGGGAACTGGGACTCCTCTTATCGTGCGAAATACGGGATAGGGATGCAAGCGATATGGCTCAAAGGATGAGAGATCGCTATTTGGTAAGGGATGACCATCTTTTTGTAATGAGGCAAGTGGGGAATCCCAAGAGGGTCGTATGTGGCAGGGACCGCCAGATTGATGTTATAGTTGTTCTTCATGATGGCATTGCGGAAGGGCACCGAGGAGTTAATGCCACATATGCCAAGATAATCTATACTATTGGGATGGGATGATGGAGATGGTTGGTAAGTTATGCCGGTCCTTCGTACCTTGTCAAAAGCAATCTCGTCTAAGGCCGGGAGAGCCACTGCATTCTAGGTTGGAGAGGGAAGTAGGGCCCGTGGTACATCTCGACTTGCTATTCATACCAATCGGGGATCATGGTTACAACTATATCTTCGATGTCCGAGATAACCTCACTTATTTTGTGGATGGGAGGACCATTCACACGAAAACCGGCCCGGTTCTCGTGAGTTGCATCGAAGAGTACTACTTACGCTATCCCTTTGTCCGGGAATTCGTGATGGACAGGGGATCAGAGTTCACTTGCCCGGAGGTGCGGGAATTATTAGAAGGGTATGGTGTGGTGACTAACTATACTACAACTGCTCACCCACAAGCCAACGCTCCAGTTGAGAGAGGGCATAGCACTATTACGAACCTACTGGCTAAGTGGACTGAAGGTAGACCTAGTCAATGGCGAAGGTACCTGAGGGCAACGTTTTTTGTCGAGAATATCATAGTGAAGAGGAACACCAAGTACGCGCCGGCTACGCTATGGTATGGAAAGCATGCTACGTTCCCAATTGAGAGCTTCCTGAAGACCTGGAGGCGTCATGATCTAGAAACCAACCTGTCTTTTGAATAGTTGCTTGACATTCGGGCGCGACAGGTGGGGGTTATTGAAGAAAGGATTCAGGAGGCATCAAGTCGAGTAGAAAAGAGTCGTATGGATGATAAGGCTCGTTGGGACTTAGCGGCGCGTGTGCGGAAAACGCCTTTGAAGGTGGGGGACGTCGTGTTATTATACGACTCATCCTTGGAAAAGCAGTGGTCTCGAAAGCTCGATAAAAGGTGGTTGGGGCCCTATCGGATCGTACGATGCAGAGAGTTTGCCGCGTACCAGATTGAAGAGTTGGATGGGACAGAGTGGAAGGATTGGGTGTCAGGAACCCGACTCAAGAAATTCATAGCCCGAGAAGAGGTGAGTTAACAATCCCAAAACCCCATCGTAGTATGTAGCTCGTAGAAAGAGTGCTAGGGCCATTAGATAGGATAAAAGAGTTAAGGATAGAGTCTGGATGTGCATGTATGGTTTGACCTCAGCCTGCTGTATCCCACCTGTATGCTTACCCCGTTGTGTGCCCATCGTCTCCTTTCGCCTGTTGTGCAGGTCTGACTTTGCGAAGACAGCCATGCCAAGAGGAGGGAGGGAGGTGCGGCCATCGAGGAGACCATCGGGGGCATCAGGGGGACACGAGCGGCGTGGATCTTACCAGAGGGAGTATACGCCAGAGTATGACAATGGGGACATAGAGCTTTTCTTGGACGATTATTGGAGTTATGCGAGTTGCAGGAGATGGACCCTAACCCGCATGATTGAGAGGTAGAGGGGAAGAGGACGTTTCGCAGGGCCCATTGCGCGGATCTGTGAGGAGGCGAGGACTTGGCAGGAGGTGGAACAGGCGATGCAGAGGCTGAGACCTTCGCCGGTAGGAACAGACGGGGAGTCGATCCGCCTCCAGATTGGGAATGCGGAGGAGTTCATCCCAACTTTTGAGCGGTTTATGCACGAGCAGGGTATCTTGAGGGACCAATGGATGCAAACACTGCCACTATGGACAAGAAGAGCCGAGAGACCGTTGGCCCGAGAGATTCGAGACAGGGCTCGTGACTGGGAAGGCTGCAGGGCGCACGTGAGGGAGGCCTTTCGGAGGCCAGAGCCAGCACAACCCCAGCCCAGGGTTGAGAGGCGGCTAAGAAGTAAGAGACAGAGGGAGCCAGAGCCTAGGGAAACCACCCCTAGTCGAGGGGGACGGAAGGCATTGGCACGGCGAGACGAGGAGCCCGACCAACCTGAGCAGGAGTCGGGCATGTATCCGGAGTGTGGAATGCGCCCAGTAGCAGTTCAGCCTTTCACTGAGGGGAGGCTACAGGGGTCTCTGCAACAGGTGTCGGAGGAGGCCGCACCGGCAGGGGGTTCCCTACAGAGCCTGGAAGCACACTTGGACGCCTTACAGTGGGAGGTGCCTCAGTCCAGTGGAGGTCAGGAAGCCGAGCCCCGCGCCCAGAGAGAGCAGCAAAAAGAAGTGGTGATTGAGATAGGAGAGGATACCCTCCCGCAACAGTCAGCCCCGACTCCGGAAGTGGAGGCCGAGCCAATGGATGTTCAAGAAGAGGGCAGGGAGCCTCAGCGAGGAGAGACGCCACCACCACCTCCAAATCTGATCCAGTCACCTAAGGTGAGGGTAGAGACGGAGCCGGGAGAAACCGATTGGAGGAAGGAGGTCATCTCTACAGTGGACAGGTATCTGGCAGCGCATGCTGCAGAGCACCCTGATTTGGAGGAGGTTCCAAGGGGAGAGCCGTTGCAGGAGCCTCATCCGCCACCAACATAGGCACAACCTGAGGCCCCACCAGGTGATATCGGCCCTATAGCGGGGAGAGCGCGTCCTCGAGAGACTGTTGAGGAGAAGAGGATCAGGGTAGGCAAACGATTGGAGGAGATATGGCAGGAAAGGCAGAGACTGGAGGACGCAGTAGAGCTTCCAGACCAGCCACCCAGAGCACCAGCCAAGGCCCCAGGGATTCCAGACCTATGGAAAGAGTTTTTCGAATAGAGGACTGAAGGACTCGCGTCACCTACAAGGGCAGGTTTCAGGGTGGCCAGACAGGTTGAGGAGACTCTGGATCGGAGAATTCGATTTCTGGCCAGAACTAGCTTCGACAGGTACCTGATGTTGGAGGGTGACCTGGCAGGAAAGAAGGCAAAGGAAGAAGGTCATGGGGTACGCATAGAAGCGTTGGAGGCAGAGATCCAGGACCTCAAGGCATTAGCAGCCAGCCAGGCCACCATCATTCAGAGGCTGCTGGAAGAAAGGAAGAAGGAAGGGACACCCACGAAGGTAGTGGATCAAACGGAAGGAGCGCGGTACGACGTTCAAGGACAGGCGGCTCAAGGATCTGGGCAGCCGTCTGAGGCGGGACCTTCACAAGGGCCACCCCTTGGAAGGGTCATCCTGGGGCCAGAAGAGGCTAAGGCAAAAAGGGAGGCTGAAAAGGAAGCCTTCGTGTTCAGGGCACCGACAGCGTTTGCGACCCTACCAGTGGAGCCTTTGGGAGCCCCACCGACATCCTCGCCACTACCAGGCGAAGAGGGACCACAGGGGGCCACAAGTGAGCCAACACAAGGATCCATGGAGGGGCCCATGAGTGTGCTCCTTGAGGCGCTTGACACTATGCAAGAAGGAGCAAGCACGCCTATGCCAGAGTTGGGTACAAAGACTGTAAGCGAGGAACTGCCTATGGTGGTACCAGAAGAAAGACGGAAGAGCAGGCCCCAGAGATTGGATACGCCTGAGTATGTGCCGGAGGTGGGTGATTTGAGGAGTAGACTGGTATCTTGGGCTACTGGATCTGGTTCTGGGGAGCGAGCTCCGGAGTCAGAGCAGCAGGAGGTCGCCAGCACTATGGTAGGGTCCCCATCGTCACCTCCGCCATAGCCAAGGAAGAAGAAATTCAAGAGGAAGGTTGATCAGCTCTGCTTCTTTTGCAAGAAGGGCGTACATTGGGCCCTCGAGTGCCCTAAGTTCCTTAAGGACAGGGCGGAAGGGAAGGTCTCAGGGAGTGCAGGGAACATGTATGATAGACAGGGCCGAGTGGTGGAGAGATCTGTTGATGGGGGTAGGGCACAATTATATAGGCAAAACCAGGAGGAGATGAGTGAGTAGGGACTGGTTTGCCTAGGTATAGATAACTACTAGGACATTGTAGACAGAATTGAGTTTCATATATCAGATTAGATACCTAGGTACTATTTGAGACTATTCTTTGTATATAACGATCACAATCACTTTCACATGTGTGGTTTATCCTGATGCATGAGGATTTCGGATGGGAGATGTATGAAAAACATCTCATGTACTATGTGATTTGTGAAAATGAATGAATGTGAACTGTCTACTCTTCGGTATACTCGTGCGACCTGTCCATGAGCGGATGATAGGGTCGGGTATAAGGGGAGGAAGTGCAGTCTGTCTTTGTGAAAAAGTGTGAGAATCCTGAGGGATTAATGAGTTCTTGAGACTCGAATGCTTACCATGCCGAATGTTTATTGTTGAGTTGTAGTGAGGACCCATAAGTTGGTCTGTCAGTTTGAATTGTTTTATGGTTGAGACATCTTCAGATGAGGGAGATAGTCTTGTGCTTAGTTGGAGACTCATCTTCGGAACGGGAAGATGTTGTAAATAAGGTCGCATGGGAGTTTATCCTGAAAAGAGAAGGGATGACTGGGAGGCCTATTGAGAGAGACGTCCTTCATATGGAAGGAGGTTAATAGATTTAATGGCATGAGAAGTTGGTTTGGGTGATAAAGTCTGACGAGAAGGACCAAATTTTGTTTGGCCATCAGTGAAACTTTGAAGGTCGTAAAAGTAATTCATTTGGAGATGTCACTAAGATGTGTGGCCTCTTGCGCTGATCATGCCAGAGGTCGTGGCCTTGTGGATCTGGCGGTGAGTTTTGTTTTGTGAATGTGGAGAGGTTGTCATGGTTCTCTGTGTTGTCCCACGGAGGACTGGTAAATAACTTTTATGTGTGACAGACCTCTGCGTAGTCCCGCAGTAAGCCTGTTTTGTTGCAACACACCGTCCAGCCACTTGTGCTAATCTTGGGGCATTTATGAGAATACCTAGCTAATGGTAAAGTTTAGCATCACTAGGGCGCAACCCCTAGTGTCGGCTGCTGATCGGCACAACCTGAACGGCGGGCCTGCGTCTTGCCGAGGGAGTAAAGACTTAAAAGGGTGTGGCCACCTAGGAGGGTTTTACTCCTGCGGAGCGACGTGGGATAGGAGTCGAGTCTTGCGACGTGGGATAGGAGTCGAGTCTTTTTGAGTCCTGATTGAATATTTATCAGGAGAAAGCCTATCGCGGCGCAACGTGCGAGGGCACTACTGCTAAAATAACAACGCAGTGGGCCGTAGATCTGGCATGATCACCCAGACTATGGTGGGCTAGGATGGAGACCTCACCTTCCTGTACTAAACTGCAGGAAGAGTCTGTGATGAGATTTGTGTATATAAATACATGTTTTAATTGCGAGAATTGTTGGAAGAAGGCAAGAATGTCTCCAGAGGTCTCAGTTAGGGCCCGCGTCCCTAGTTATGGCCCCACGTGCAAGGTAGAGGCTAGGGACACTTAACGAGAAGCCGACGTTTGTCTAGGACAAAGGGGGGAGGACAGTTGAGAGGGGTCATTGAGACTTATGCTGTAGTACGTATGTTTAGTACACCTGCGTCCTAATGTCAGGACAATAGAGACCCAGGTTGGAACCCTGACAGTATATAGTTATAAGGGCTTGGATTGTTGGAGGCCTCAACCCTGAGTCTGTCAGCTGATCAGGTTGGTTCCTTTCTCGTCAGCATCTTTGGAGTTTGATAGATTTATAGCTTTCTGATTTGGTGAAGCGACGGGGACGTCGCTTAATATGGTCATGTAAGTTGTCGGTGCGAATACCCTTACAAGGGTATCCGCCCTGGTTTTGCAAACAACAGGAAAAGTGAATTGGGTGAAAATCTAGGTATTTCGTGCAGGGCGCGATTGCGTCTGTGAGCCGCGCTGGCTGGATGGTTGACTAGAGCGGGGAATGTGTGGGCGCATAGTTTTAAGACGCGTGTGTGATATTATTTCCTTTGTGTTGATCAGGGGGTCAGTGTAATCGCCCGGTTGAGTCTTAATTTTGTCTGATTAAGTTAGGGATTTTGAAAGCTTCCGCCTCTTTGCCTAGTACGTTTGAAAGACAGTAGGTTTGGCGCGTGAGTTGGCGTGCGGGGTGACCACGGTGCAATTGGGGCCCGCCGGTGTGGACGCCAGTGGCCGTAGGTACGAATGCAGGCTGAGGAACGGCCCAGGGCACTTTTTGGCCCTAAGCACTGCACAACACCACTTCAAATAGGATTTTGCACCTGTTGGTTTCAGGCTTGGGCTTAGCCCTAAGAGTTATGACTCTGGACTTACGAAACGGAGGTGCGGGGATCGAAACCAGTAGGCGGCGGCTTAGGAGCGAAGAAGCTTTGGATTATGAAGAGGCTGAGGGGTTGAGGGTCTTGTCAGGGAATCCGATTGTGGGCCTAGTTGGAAGGACCGTATGGATCCCTCCACCCCTTCCCATTTTTCTTAATTCTCTCATGTAGTTTGAAATTTTTTGCTTTTGTTATGTTTCTTTTATTTTATTTTGGGGTCTATTTAGTCGGGTCCGGTACTGGGTCCGAGACCCACTGTTGACCCAACGAGTCAAAGCTCCACAGGTACACCCGTGAGCTGATGGACTGCAGATCTGTGGCCAGTCCCGAGTAGTGGGGGGCACTCAGGGTCCTAAGGGCTACGGGGTGCTATCGCGATAGGAGTCCTTCGGGACAACTGTTAAAATTGGAACGATATAAAAGTGTCTAGCCCTTCACCACGAGGGCCCGACATGCAAGTAGTATGTTGTGTTCTGTCTGAACCTGGCCGTTGAAAAGGGGCAGGATCGGTAGCGGTGGATAATCACTGGGGTAAGGCCAGTGGAATGTCGGGCAAAGGTCCACGGCGATACTTACCTGCAAATCGCTCGGCGGGCTCTGATAGATGAGCGGAGGGATAGTTAAGTCGGCATTTTGACCGATTCTCTTTCGGAGTTCTTTCGAACGAAGCAGTTGGAGTTGATGGGCGGCCTGTCGTACGGCCAGCAAGATGCTGCTCGAAGGTGTTGACGATAGAAAGGGAGAGCTCGCTCGATCCTTGGAGGAATCGAGTGAGGGAGGATCCTACATATCGATTCTCGGGGAGAGCGACATGAGTTGTAAAGTTAGTTTTAGTTATTAGTTAGTGAGGTGAAAGCTGGAGTGAAAAGTTGGTGCAGGAAGTCATGGCGGGGAGCTATGAAGAAGAAAGGAGAACAACGATTTCTAGCTCGATTCTCAATGAAAATCGAGCGAGCTAAGTAGAAAATTTGGGATTCTCGGTCGGGGTGAACTTGATCGTGAAGCCAGATTAGGAGAAAGGTAAGTAGAATCGAGGTTAGGAAGAAAGAGTGTGCACGGAGTCGTGGCGGGAGTGGAGGACTAAAGTGGGAAAGCGAGTATTTCCCTCGTTTCTGAATAGTATTGGGTGAGGAAAGGGTCGTTTCGGAGGTTTTGAAGGATGGTGAACTTGATTATTAGGTTAGTTTGACTGTTGGGGTAGTAGAATAGCAGCTAGTAAGAGGAGGGACTGCGCAGGAGTGTCGAGAAGAATGGGATGGCAAGTTAGAAAGTAGTCGGTTTATCAGGCTCTCCTAGTAGGGATTAGGGCAGAGTAATATTTTGGGTTTCTAATGATAGGCGAATCCAATGGGAAAGTCAAATTCGACAACTAATCTGTGGATTCTGCGGTAGGATCATTGGAGATTGCGCCCGTGGGAAAATATCAAAGTACCTTTCCGCTTTTTAGCGAAAGATTCATTCTCAGTTTTTGCGCATTTCGTGGGTAGTAAAAAAAGGTCCACGAATGCAATAACCTCCGTTTTTGTGATTGTGGATAGTCTTCCTGATCGATCACGGTCTCGGTTGTCATCGAAGTCGGATACGACACCGTAGTCTTTCCAAGCCATCGTGCATTTTGCTCCTGCAGCAGCCGGCTTTCTCAGCTATGGAGCAAGCTACGATGCGGATCAGCAAAGGGTGAGACGGGTTGGTTCAGGACGCCATCCATTGCATATGGGCAACAAACGGGTTAGAGCATAGTGTATACTTCCGAGTTTTAGCAGGAAAATTCACTTCAGAGTTTTCTATTACGTGTATGAAGAACCCCCTCATATAAATGTGTGACGACGACGGTATTCATAAGTTATTAGTTCATATCTTATCATGAGTTTCTCTCTATTTCATCCGTCCAAGCAGAATGCATTTTTCGCTGTTCGGGCGGAAAGTTGATACGACCATGCCTATTCTATCGAAGGAATAGACTCCCCTCCATCTTGCCAGAGTATCGGACGACTTCAGCATCTGGGAGCCGTCTCGGGCTCCTACTTACGATAGAAGTTCGCCTCTCGAGGCGTCCTCCCGTCGTGATGTACTCTTTCGTGGTCAATAGGAGTAGTCAAATTTTTGCATTATGCATTCCGGGAGTAGGGGAACGAGGGGTAAATTTCTGTCTGCGATGAGACAGACAGTCCTCGGGCCCTATTGTTTGACAGGCTGTGTGGGCAAGTGAGAAAAGTCGGCCTACCGTAGCTGAAGCTAACTCGTAGTCGGCCTTGGCAATAGCTTGCTTGGGCTGCGTCCTACCTGCGCAAAAGCACGGGCCGAGAGGTTCAGCAGGTTGGAAGGCAGTAGAGTATAGCCCGCCGTGAGGTTACAATCTTAGTTCGTAGGTCGGGGCTCTACTTTTCCCGACGAACTGGACTAGCTACAGTGCCGAATTGCCATGCACCTGGCCGAAGTGCTGCCTAGCCCATCGATCGAAGGAATGAGCAGAGCAGTGGGGAGTTGGCAGGGGTGTGGGCTTTCTTGTCAGATTGAAGAAGCGGGTGGTCGACGTTTGAACCACAATATTGTGGTCAGGCACCACCATACACCTCGCTCAATTTTTATGCTGGCTATGGCCAGTTACAGTCAGCTACAGTATGTTACCTGGCTGCACTGCTTCTGCTTATTGTTGCGTTGAGCTAGTTGTTGTGCCATCTCCACTAGAGTTGCTGCTCATACTGGCTGCTCCAGCAGGTTGCGGCTGCTCTTAGTTGCTGACCATCGCTACGACTGTGGGTTCTTGAAGAAGGTTGATAATACTATGACGATGATGCCCTCGGCAGTGTACAACTCTGATGGTGGAGGCTGATGCAGTTGAGCTTGATAGTTGTTGTTGTTGGTGATACCGTAGATGATGCTATGTTCAACGGTGGCTTGTTGTTAGTACGGCTGTGCGAATTGTTGTACGCTGATTGCGTTACGGTACTGATCATATTTCCACTGCGCTTCGCTGTGTAATTTGTGCGCACCTCTATATTTTGAGCATAGAGCACACGGGGTATGTATGTTGTTTCAGTATGGTTGTTTAGAGTTGCGTGGTTGCAACTTATCTAAGGAGTATCTGAGTCGTGTTGAAGGGTCGACAATGCGGTTGTGAAGAGGGGTTATTGTCGAGAATTCAGGAGGTCGTTAGAGGGTTGACTGCGGCAATCGACTTCAGTTGGCAAGCTGTCACTTCTGGCCACCATTGCGGGCCCTCAAGCGCGTGAAGATAACAAGGCCCTCTCCTGCGAGTCTGAGCGCACCTCTCTTGGATCTGAGGGCCTCAAACCTTTCTCTATCTGCCCTTCTTACTCTAAGTCTAGTCTGTTGGTTACGAGAGGAAGGCGGCAGGCAGGATTGCAACCCGTAGGACCGCGTCAAGACTCTGTTTGGAGTCCACCCACCGATTGCGGGAGCTCTGCTTGAACCTAGGCAAGGTTCTAGAGGCAGGGAACCATCAGGTATATCATCTTTCTATCTATATGACCCCATATTACCCATGTTTGCTTATTTCCCCTTAGTTTGGCTGAGGTATGTATGAAACTGTCCCTATGATTCTTGCTTTCTCTTCAGGATTGATCAGACTGAAAGGAAAGAATGTGTGTGTGTGAAGCTTAAGTTTCTTTTTGTTTTTGACTGAAAGCAGACTAAGGGATGAACTGGGGGAAGGTGGGAGGAAGGCAGACTGCATGCGTTTGACGGGGTCAAGCAAGGACTGGGCAATGTTTCTAAGCTGAATGGTCAGGGTTGTGTTTATTTTACTGTTTTCCGAAGGACCAGGCATTGTTTCGAAGCTGAATGGCCTGGTTGCAATGTTTATTTTCTAAGGGTTTGCCTGATGTGAAAGAGTTTTCTTGTTTCATTCTGAGGGAGGATTTTTGGTCTAAGGCTGAGCAATGTTTATAAGTTGAATGGCCTAGTCTGAAAACCACGCACATAAGTACAACCTGAGTATAAAAGGAAGTATTTTACATATATTTGCATGTGAACTTACAGTTGGGCATTGTTTCCAAGCCGAATGGCCCAGCGTTAAGCCATATCACTAAGAAGAAAAAGGAAATTACGAAGTGTAATTAGAAATAGTCTGGGCATACTGAACATTGTTTCCAGGCCGAATGGTTCAGTTCCCGGCCCATATTTGCATCTTCTTTTGAGAACAAAGTCAGATAATTATTAAACTTTGGATATTAAACAGTTCTGGGCGGTTAGGCATTGTTTCCAAGCCGAGTGGTCTAGTCAAATGTCATAAGAAGAGAAACGTAGTAGTGCAACATGTTCTTGTATATCCTAAGGCACGCTGGGCATTGTTTCCAAGCCGAAAGGTTCGAGCATTCGTGCCATATGTAAGTTGGGTATAAGGGATAAAGTACCTGAAGACTCATGAACTATCTTATATGAAATAACTTGGGATGGTGAGAGTACTTACTTTTATGGTTTGGCCTGCATGTGACTGAGTACGACTACTACTTAGTCTTAGTTTCAGTTTGGTAGATAGTTGCTTTAGTCGCGCGCCACGTGCTTGAGCCATAGGAGTTAGTTTCAATTCCTACATTTTCTGGACTAAGTTTATTTTTACTTAGGTCGATTTCTACATTTTCAGGGATCATTTATTATACTTGGTCTTGTATAACTCTTGGTAAGTTACTTTCTCTACGAGAAGCGCTGCCGAAATTTCTACAAAACCAAGGACTTAGTTAGATTTTGTTTTTTTTAAGTTCAATCTGTCTACCTGTTATGGCTTAGTATAAATCTGGAGAGTCTCATTTTCTAAAGGGAGTGCTGCCCAATTTTTTGCTATTTCAAGGAGTTGAGAAAAAATTGGACTTTGAGAAGTCAAAACCAATTATTTTTTCTGAACTTAGTTTTGTATAAATCTTGAGATAGCACTTTCTCTACGGGAAGCGCTGCCGAAATTTCTACAAAATCTAAGGAGTTAGTCAAATTTTGTCTTAAGTTGAACTTATGAATCGATTCTAAGTTCATGTCTGACTTAGTACAAATCTGGGAAGTCTACCTTTCTAGAGGAAGTGCTGCCTAAATTTTTACTAATTTAGAAAGTTAGACAAATTTGGACTTTCCAGAGCTATGAATTATTTTTATTTTCATATTTGGGTTATTGTAAATTTTGCGAAGGCACTTTTCCTACGGGAAGCGCTGCCGAAATTTTCCTAAATTTAGGAGTTAGATTATATTTTGACATGTGGCAATTTTGGCAGTTCACTCTGTATAGAAGAGATTCTACCAAAAGACCTACCTTTCCATTAGGCATTGGGTTAGGAAATAGACTCAGGGGTAGTTAAGTAGAATGACCCTTGGTGAAATTGAGATGGGGATGTTACCCTTGACTAGGACTCATAGATTTAGCTTGGGGTTGGCCTATCTTATGTTACAGGTCCTTCTAGACGTTTGATTTGAAATCAGGACTAGGTTCAGCTTGATCCTACAAGGATCGTCTTCTGTTATCACTGATAACAGGTCGGTTGCCGATTCGTCGGCTTACGACTCAATTCCTACTCAACCGAAAAAGCTTTAGCCCTGGTGATTTTATTTGTTTTGTTAATGTTTCATTCAGACTTTTATTGAATGGTCTTTTAACAAAGGTACTGAGAATTTAATTATGGTTGGTTGGACGGGAGGTTGGGGTTTGCATAGCTAAAGTGAGGGGTATGAGTACAGAGATTGGTTGGAGTTGTCTCCGTGTAATGTGTGGACTCTTGTTTGACTTTTTGATGTGATTGCAGGTATGTGTTGTGGTTTGGATTTTGGATTTGACTGCTTGCAATCACACACATATACATATGGTTGTGAGGAATCCCACCGTGATTGTCAGAAGTAATCGTCACATACTTATCTTCTGATTATGTATATATATATATATGTATCTATATATATGTGTGTACCTATGATGGGTGTTTGTGTGGCTTGAGGGGCCCGCGTAGTAAGGATGTAACTAGGGGTTAAGATGGAGAGGATAAGAAAAACCCCTTTATCTTATTATATACTTTTTAATGATTTCTTAGTCGGACGTTGGTTCTGGGCCGGGATTCAAGGTCTTTGAGCAGGACATCCCAAACCCTAGACTCTGCAGGGAAGGAATTTGCCCCCGTGCGGAGCCTATTTGCCTTGCCTGCCGAGACACTCAGGCCAAAGGCCAGAGGTCTCGCGGCGACCACACGGCTATTTGTGGAAGCTCCATGTATATTCGCGACGAAGGATTAAAACCAACTCCTGCGTGACACGGCCGGAATGGTCCTGCGCTGCCCTTACGTGGTGCTGGACCGATGCGCCCGACACCGTCCCCGTCTTCGATTTGTCGCCGACCCCAGTGGCACCATCCACCACGGCCGCCATTGGTGTTTCAGGTGCGTTGGATCCTCTATACAGGTTGCGCAATATTCGAACACTACCCGATGATCCAGGGATTGCAGTCGGCGTGCCGGATTGTGCAGCGAGGCGCACGGGAGCACGACGGCGAGGCACATTCAGGCAGCAGGCCGTTACTTTGTCCCCGTGGAGCATGCATGGCACATGACGATCATAAGATTCATTGTCGAGAGTGACATGCCCTTCAACTGCATGAAGCTCGAAAGCTTCAAGCGCATGTTCGTTATCATCATCCCACCGGAAGTTCCTTGGTCACCTACTCCGAGATCTCCTTATCACCTCATACGTACGACGCTTTTGGATGAGCTTGATGTTGAGGTCCAAAAGTGTGTTCAGCCACTCATTGCGT